GGACCCTCTATATAGTTTCCAAGGCTGTATATCTTTGTGGGAGCAGAAAGCCTCCTCTTTCTCTTGCAGCTTGACTGTTGGGCTCTAACTGCTGACCTTGTGATTTGCAGTTCAGTGCTTAAATTACAGAGCCACCATCCTCCTGGCACCTAGGTATCTTGGCACAGATAGTTCGTTTCAGACTAGAGCGATTTACTGGTCAGAGTTTTCCTCTGATCTCCAGGACGAACTGGCACTTTGCTTAACATGTGTTAAGGAAGGGCGAGTTAGAACCACATTCTTCATTCCAGTTTGATGGGAAAGACAGCTGAAATGAAAGTTCATGTTGGCAAACTGACAAAATGAACACGCAAACAAACACACTGCCAGCGATTCCTTTCAGGTGTCTTAAGGACAGCAAAGAATTGTCCTAAACCCTTCCATTTTTCCATAAGGGTGACACATACCATTAAAGGCTCCACCACTAGCCAAAAGGTTGGCAGTTCAAACCTATCTAGGGGTGCCCTGGAAAAAAGACCTGGAGATTTACCCTCCAAAAGTCACAGCCTTGAAAATCCTATGGAGCAGTTGTGCTCTGAACATGTCACCATGAGTTAGACTCAATGGCAGGTGACAACAACAACCTTGTCTGAACAATGAAGGCCGATACCTAGATGTATGAACATCGATCCAGGAAAGATTCAGTTTTCCTCAGCTGAGTCTTCTGATGGCTCTAGCCATTTTAGAAATATCTTTAACCACAGTGGAAGTCAAAAGCTGTTTTTGTTTTCTTATGGATACAGTCACCCTAACCTGAAAATGTATGTAAGCATGAGCTTCCTTGTCTGAGCCACGTGTGATGGGTGGTGTCATTCCTGAGACCCCCATCTTGGTATTCCCTCGCTGTCAGTGCCCTCAGCAGGACCAGAGAAAGGCCACTACCCTTTTATCTCCTGGGAGAGGGACTTGACAAACAGAAATGACCTTTTCTTTTGGGTCTGTGCCCAGTTTTTCTTCTAGCATCTGAAAGTTTAACCTGTCAGAAGTCCTGAGGCTCTGGATAGTGTATCTTTTGGATGGTTCACTGCCATCCTGCCTCCTTCCCCAGTCAAAGGAAAAGACAGAAAGTATCATCATCACTAAAAATGGCAACTTGTTTTGCAAAATGCCACTTGTTTAAAAGTCTACCGTTGAATTAGAAAACAGTTTTTCCCAGTGCCACTGGACAAAGCAGCATGGCTGAGTTGCCACAATCAAGTTACATTTTCCAGTGTTCGTGTTGTTGTTGAGTGCCATCCAGTCACTTCTGACTCACAGCGATCCTGTAGAGGGTTTCTGAAGTTGCACATCTTTGTAGGAGCAGGAAGCCTCATCTTTTCCCTGAGGAGTGACTGGTGAGCTCAAACTGCCAACCATGTGATTCACTGCATATTGTACAGAGCCATCTCACTCCAATGTGCTTGCTGTTAAGTGCCGTCGAGTTCGTTCCAACTCATAGTTACGTTGTATAGGGTTTCTGAGGAGCGGCTGGTGAGTTTGAACCACCAACCCTATGGTTTAAATCGACATTGTGGTCCAGTGCTTTATCCCACAGTGCCCGATTGTACTTGTGAAAAGCCACAGCTACCATGCCCTTCAGTATGCCATGGATTCCCCTTCACTCTTGCTAGATGGATCAGACATGAAAACCCTACAAGATACATTAGAACTTCCCTTATGGATGAATGAATACTAGTTTAAAGAGAAGTTAGAACAGAAATAAGGCGTAACATCCAAGTGCTTCCCAGCAACACACAATCCCAGGAAGGCCTTCGTCCCACCATGGGGAAACTGAGGCTCCCGGACCTTAACTCCTTTTCCCAAAGTCACACTTTTCATTAACAGCAAGGGCCAAGTGCCATACCCAAGATCGCCGGACTCAGAACCCAATGAAATGGTGCTGTGTCCCATAAAGTAACTCCTGGCCGCTAAGGCTGCTCACCCAAAGGCTGGTGGTTTGAACCCACCCTGCAGTTCTGTGGCAGTGAGATCTGACAATCTGCTTCCTTAAAGATTAAAGGCAAAAGAACATGGTGCAGCTCTTCTACTCTGTTACACATGGCATTCTCCACAGGTCAGGGACAGAGTCCAGAGCAGCTACCAACAATACCACAGTGCCACTCGGAACACAGTGTGCCCTCTCTAAGTGCCCTCCTTGGCCTAGATTTAGGAAACTCTGCCTGCAAGAGTCATGATGGTGGATTTGACCTGGGTGGGCTTCCTTAGGGTCAGGGAGTCTGTCTGGGGCTGCTTCACTAGTTCCAGATGATAAAGACCTTGCCTCTTGGGGAGGCATCTCAGAGCAGGGAGAGGGGAGGTGATCACACATAATTTTAGCTTCCTCCCTTTTCCTCTGACCCTTCCAATTCCCCTCTGTGAGTGATGAGGGTATGCAGTTCAGCCCAGCAGAGAGAATTGTGGCAATTTGTGTGTCCTTTGGCATGCCTGGGAGGCCAACCAGAAATGCTGAACTGGGGCCGGATCTGTGCATTCCCATCACAGCCTGTTCCAGGGGCCTCCACTCAGCTGGCAGCCTGATGTGTGGAAATTATGCAGAAATGTGGAAGAAGGAGCCTTTCCAGGTAGATTCCTAAGAAAGGAAAGGGTGGCTAGTAGCACACGCTGATTGGTCAGGCTCCTAGCCAATGAGCAGAGACCAAGGCAGGGCTGCCTCTCTTTCAGTAAAACTCAGTCTTGGAGAAAAGGCCTTTTTTGAAAGAGGACTTGGGTTGTGCTCAGTGGTCACTCCCATCTTCCTGTACTTTATGAAAGGAGCTCCCATAACATTCTGCTAATAACGGGAGAGCCCTCAAGGCTCATTCAGTGAATCTAACAGGAAATTCAATTTGGAGAAAAGATTTATTGCTAAAACACCAGGCACACATCTGTTCCTTAAAGCAATTCATTACTCATTATGGGATTCTCAGATAACAAGTTTGATCCCGTTAGTGTTTAGGGGAATTACTACAGGCAAACCCTGGTGACATAACAGTTAAGTGCTCAACTGCTAACCAGAATGTCAGCCGTTCAAACCCACCAGCCACCTGGTGAGAGAAAGATGTGGCAGTGAGCTTCCCGTAAAGATCACAGCTCTAGGAAACCCTGTGATGCAGTCCTAATCTGTCATGTGGGGTTGCTATGAATCGAAATAGACTCGATGGCAACAGATGTGGTGCAGAAAGTTAGTGTGCCTGGCTGCTGACTGAAAGGTTGGGGATTTGAGTTTACCCAGAAGTACCTCAGAAGAAAGGCCTGGCAATGTAATCCCCCCAAAGAAAACAGAGGGCAAAAAACCAGTCATTGGAATCCTAGGGTCATAGTTCTTCTCTGACACACATGGGATCACCATGAGTAGGAATTGGCTGGACTGGAAACTGATTGAAAAAGGTTAACTCAGTGGAGAAAATGGAATTCACTTATTGTTTTCAACAAAAATTTTTGAACACATACTATGCATCTAGGCATAGAGTGAGGCCATCCCTAATCCATGGGACTTGCTACTGGCATTTAAAGTTTCCATCACTAATCGCTGCCGCAACCATTCTCATGAAACAGGCTAATGTGCACCCATGTTTTACAATAAACCAGGATCAACATTTTTCTCCTTCTAGCAGACTGTTGTCAGCAGACTGTTGTCATTAGTTAGAGCAACTTCAGAGAACCCACACAGTTCCTTGGTGGTGGTGGTGATTATGTGCCATCGAGTCACTTCTGACTCATAACGACCCTATATAAAGTTTCTGAGGCTGAAAATCTTTATGGGGACAGAAAGCCTCATCTTTCTCTTGGGGGGCAGCTGGTAGATTTGAACTGCTGGCCTTTCAGTAAGCAGCCCAATGTGTAACCCACTAGGTTGCCAGAGCTCCTTAGTTCTCAGTTCCTTCTTAGAAGGCTGAAAATTTAGAGTCAGATTTCACCCATTCCTGCTGCTATGGAGTTGATGCTGATTCTTAGAGAACCTGATTGGACATAGTAGAACTGCCCCATAGGGTTTCCAAGGCTGTGGTTTGTTGGTTTTGTTTTTTTTTCCTGGAAGCAGACAGCCTTATCTTTCTTCTTCAGGGTGACTGGTGGGTTTAAGTTACCAGCTGGACTCTTAACCACTGTACTACCAGAGCTCCTTGTTGTTGTTAAGTGCCTTCGAGTGGGTCCCTGTATAGGGTTTTGTGTGTGTGTGTGTTTTTAAAGTTTTCATTGTGAATTGAGTGAAAGTTTACAGGGCAGATCCTCAGTTTTACATTCAACAAATTACATACTTTGTCTCATTACAATGATAATAATTTCCCTTCATGTACCATCAGTTAACAGTATTTCTCTTTATTCATTTTAGCTCCTTTTTTTTTAAACACTCAGGCATATATAATAATTTAAACCACTAAAGAGTACATTCTGAAAGTCTGCCTCCTGGCTGCCAACTCTCAATCCCTCTCCTCCTATGAATCTAGAGTCCTCAGTTGCTCCCTCTCGCCATGTCCCCCTCTCTGCCTCCATCTCTGGTGTCACTGCTTCTCTGGATAAGGTCCCACATTCTGCTTGTGCTCTTATCCCTTGATGGTCCTAGGGTTCTGTGTTTCTGGGCTATAAGATTAACTACTACCCTGTTTTGTTACAAAACTTCTACCTTTACTGTAGAGGGTTTTTGAGGCTTTAAATCTTTGCAGAAGTAGAAGGGCTTCTAACCCAAATGTCAGGGCTCCTTAGAGTCAGATTGATGAGTCCTGCCTAAGAATTCCCCCTTCAGGTCATGTACCTAGAAACTTTGAGGCCTTTTTCAGAGGTTCTCTTTTGATCTGGGAGATAACACTGCTTCAAGACCTTACAGGAAGAGCGAGTGGCACACCTGGTCCCTTGGAGGTCTGTCCCCCATGGAGGCTGCAGCTCGGGCAGCAGTTGAGCGACCAGGGCGGGATTGGGGGCAGGCAGGCACCTGAGCACCAGAAACCAGCCAATAGATGAGCATTTCTTGATTGTTATCTTTTTAGGAAGTGGTGATGGTGAGTGGGCCGTGGCAACACTTAAGTCACCCAAAGGTACCGTATCTGGCTCTCTGTAGTACTGTCCAGATGTTGTCGGATTTGAGCAAGACACAGGACATCCTGGTGTCCGCGTGTGACCCAGTGCAACGTGTGTCCCTGTTTGGTAGCACGTGCACGTTCGTCCAAGGTCAAGCGTGTAGGTGTTGTGTGGTGTGTGTGCATGCAGAGCAGGTGTGTGGTTTGTCTGTGCTCGGGCCGGTTGTTGAAGAACGTGCTGCCTCTCACCTCCTGACATCCGCTGCCTGAGTGAAAATGCCACTTGAGGAACCGCCCCAGGTAAGAAATCAAGGAAATGGTTGTTTTTTCTTCAAAAAAGCCACAAAGGTAAAATGGCAAAACAGGAGATAAATGAATGTGAGGAGAAGTAGGCAGCGTCAGAAACTGAGTAAAAGACAGGTCAGTTACTGACACAGTGTCTTGTGAATGTTTAGCCTTTGAGGGAACCGGAGGTTCTTTCCCACATTTTTATAAGACTATGGACTTGGGTAACTGGATTCTGTGGTTTACTAAATGGCCGAACTGGGTCCAGACAGTAGATACAATTTATTGACCTCCTAAGAGTCCTGGTAAGGTGCTGTGAATTAATGCGTCAGACTGCAAAGTTGTTTGAACTGCAAGGTTGGTGGTTCAAGCTCACCAGCTGCTCTTCAGAAACCCTATACGGGGTCACGATGGGTCAGAATCAACTCAATGGCACTTAACAGCAACAGTGGTCCTGGTGTGGTGCTGTAGGATAAGCGCTGGACTCAAAGGTTGGTTTGAACCACAAGATTGGCCATTCAAAGTTACTAACTACTCCTCAGAAATCCTGGACAGGGTCGCGATGAGTTAGAACAGATTCAACAGCACTTACCAACAATATTATAAGGGTGGCTCCATGCTGTAGGCACTGGATTACGAACCATGAGGCCTATGGTTCTAGCTCAGTAGCCTCTCTGTGGGAGAAAGATAAGGCTTTCTGCTCCCGTGAAGATTTAAAGCCTCATAACCCTATATAGGGTTGCTGTGAGTCAAAACTGACTGTAAGGCACTTAACAACAATGACAACAATATACAGGAGTGGGGTCCTGGTGTGGTGTTGTTGGATAAGCACAGGGCTGCTGGCCACAAGGCTAGTAATTCAAACCTACCAGCTGCCCCTTAGAAACCCCATACAGGGTTGTCATGAGTCAGAAAGGACTCGATGGCACACACCACCACCACCAATATGTTAAAATCAGGAAACTTTTATGCCAGGTCTGTATTCTCTCCCCGTACTTATTCAATCTGTATGTTGAGCAAACATCCCAAGAAGCTGGAATGTATGATGAAGAACATGAGTCACGATTGGAGGAAGACTCATTATCGACCTAGGGTGGTTTATAACTGATACAGCCTTGCTTGCTGAAAGGAAGAAGGACTTGAAGCACTTGCCAATAACGATCCAAGAGCACAGCCTTCAGTATAGATCACACCTCAATGTAAAGAAAACAAAAATCCTCACAACTGGACAAGTAAGTCACGTCATAATCAATGCAGAAAAACACTGATGTTGTCAAAGATTTTATTTTACTGGGATCATTGATGCATGTGAATTATGGTGTTGGAGAACACGCCAACGCTCCTCAGAAATCCTACACAGGGTTGTTTTGAGTTCGAACCAACTTGATGGCACTTAACAATAACAACAACAAACCTCTGAAAATCCTGGCCTACTCAGTGTGACCCCAGATCCTAAGTATTACAGACATGTAATGTTGTTAAGTGCCGTCAAGTCGATTCCAACCCATATTGACCCTGTATAGGTTTCCAAGGAGCAGCTGGTGAGCTTGAACTGCTGACCTTGCAGTTCAAACTGCTCTGCAGTCTGGCGCATTAACCCACAGCACCACAAATCCTAGGAGAAGGACATCATGCATGGTGCAGTGCAGAGTCAGTGTCAAGGCAGAAGGCCCTAATGAGATGAGCTGACAATGGGCCCAAACGTAGCAACAGTTTTCAGGATGGCGCAGGACTGAGCATTGTCTCATTCTGTTATATATCAGGTCACTGTGAGTCGGGACCAGGGCTCAGGGGCCAACTTGATGTCAGTAGATAACAACAACAATAGTACACACCAGACTTAGTGCTGGGCCCTTTACATTTGTTATATATCATTTGATTCTCTGATAATCCTGCTGGCGGCCCCTCCTAGTGAGAGATGAGGAAGTCGATTCCGCTAGTCCAAAGTCATGGCAGAGCTTCGATGTGAACTGACATCAGTCTAAGTCTGGGCTCGGAGCTCTGGCCCACTGGGTGTGTTAGGAGTTCTGTTCCTCCGAGCACAGCCGACCCTTGCTTCTCTTACGCTTTGTTGAATTTGGCGGTGGGAGGATGTAGATGGTCCAAAGAGTTGGGAGTAGAGCTTCTTCCTCATCTTGAAATGAGGGAATTGAAAAGACAGTGCAGACTTCTAGAGTGAGTTCTAACCTGGCCATTTTTCCAGTCTCAAAAACGGCTCTGGTTTCCAAGTGTAGATTGGAGTTAAGGAGTACTGGTGGCGTAGCAGTTAATAGTGCAGGTGATGACTATAAGGTTGGTGGTTCAAGTCCATAAGTCACTCCACAGAAGAAAGATATGGCAGTCTGCTTCGGCATAATGACAGCTTTGGAAACCCTATGGGGCAGTTCTCCAGTGTCCTAGAGGGTCACTGTGAGTCGGGATGGACTTAGTGGCAGTGAGTTTGGCCTGGAGTTGGGGACATCCATCAATGCCTCTTAGTTATCCAGGTGGGTGGAGAGGAGAATGGATGAATAGTGAGTGAGGGGATGAATAGATGTAAGGAGTGGGGAGGGGAGAACAGCTGTAGACCATTGGTTCCTACTTCTATCTGCTCGAGGTGCATCCACACCCATCACCTGGATGACTTGGTAAATAAAGCACAGGTGAGATCTTCTGATTCCAGTGAGTCTGCGTGGAGACTGAGACTTCATAGTTGTAACAGGTTCCCTGGTGATATTGATAAGTGCTGGCTTGGTTGCCACACTTTGAGAGCCGCTCTCGACGAGACATCTTACTGGGACATTAAGACCCTTTGATAGGTCTCCATGTATCTCCCTGTGGGCTGCAGGTTCTGAAGAGGAGAGTTTGACCAGGGTCCTGGAGGTGAGGTGAGAGCGAGACAAAGACAGAGATAGAGAAACACTCTAGACTCAGAGGGAGAGAGAGAGAGAGAGAGAGAGAGAGAGAGAGAGAGAGAGAGA